CTCGTTAAATACGCGAGATTACTTCCGGAACGTCGACGGCGTGGCTGTTGCCCGCTCCGTTTTCGTCCCGCGGCCATCGCGAATCCCGTTCCGAGGGACATAAAGCTCGGAATTGTACATAATGGCGGGTTTACCGTTGCGGGCTCAGGAGCCCGTTCGCGAGAGTAAACGCGTGAGGATCCTAATGAAATGTAACATTATCTTCGGTGGCGTTAACTCTTCGAGGTTGTCCGTTCGCTCGCACTTCGTCGCTGTATCGCTGCGTCGGTGTGGCGAAATGAGATGACGGCTGTTAACGCGATTGTTTCAGCGCGCGAGTCCCTCCGCGCCAACTAATTTTTTTCCCCCAAACAGGAAATTGATTTTGGTGCTGGCGAACGCCAGCTGTCACGCGGCCGCGATGGCACGTAGGATAATTCCCACGGTCGAATGAACACGACGCGTTATTACGTTAACGTCGCTGACAAGAAATTTCCCAAATTCCCTTCCTCCGACTTCGTTGAGCCGTTCATTTTTTTTTAAATTCCTAACGTCCGCGAATTTAATATAAAATTAGCTTATTAAATTGATTGACAATTTAACTAGCCATTTTATTATTTCGACTTTAACTCGATAACTGGTGTTTTCAAGACCGAGAGAGTTATCGGTGCGCAGTCGCCATGTTGACGAAAGATGTATACGCAAAATTAAGCACTAATTGAAAGATCCAACATGACCGCCATAAGCCTTTTTATTGTGTGATTTAATATCAAATCATTAATGTAATTAAAAATTAAAAATGAAATTTTCGTAATGTATATTTTTATTGTGTGATTTTATATTAAATCATTAATGTAAGTAAAAATTAGAAATGGAATTTTTGTAAAGTATACACGAAAGATATTGACAAAACGAGAGGAGGTTGGTTTCCGACTCGCTCGAAAACGGAAAACGGCGAGGGCTGGAAAAGCGCATGTCAAGAGTGATCGACATTTACGGGTCTCTACCGAGATTCTTTTTTTTTTATCGGGGTGCAAGGATTTGCGAACGTTCGTTGAAAAATCGCGCCGTTACGGGGGTCGTCCCGGAGAAGATAGGTGTCCGCGAGAGCTAATGCATTTCTAATGTTCCACGTGCTCGCGAGGGCACGAAAGTTACCGGCGTTTCGTCGACTTTACTGAGATCGTGGCTCGTAACTTATCGCGCGAGGAGTTATGCTCATTCGCGTCCGTCGGCGTTTTACGGGACGATTAAAAATTTAGACGGCGTCCGTTAGCGCCAAATTAACTCGCTCCTATCTGTCGAAAGGACGAGACACGGCCTTAGCCGGCGCGAAGGCTAATGGAACGGCTATAAGCGGTACACTTTCCGGCGAAATTGTTGCAAATTGGCGCGTATTACTGCATCATTTAGCGACATTGAAAGATAAATATCCGGAATACGTGAGTAGCCCGACTCCTTTGGCCGGCTTTCAAGTAGTTTAAAACGTCGCGAGCCGCGCTCCCCATTGAAATACACTTGTAATAACGTCGCTCAATAGGGAACCGACAAAAGTATTATGCATCGGGAAAGTATTGTGCTTTCTCCGTTCGCTCGCCTCTTGCGATGAGAGTGCATTCGCCATTCATCGAATGTTCGGACTACGAAATGCATTTTCCTAGCGGTATCTCTTAAGCGATACATTTCGCGATTACTCGAATGATTACTGGAGCACACACGATGCATTTTCGCTGAATGATATATTTTTTTTTAATGAAAATCTATTCGTATTGTATATTTATCTAATAATCTTTGATACTCGCGAAACAAAGGAATCGAGGACGTGTGTTGCGAGGACGAAGGTCGCGGATTTTCGATCTCTTCGCCGGCAAATCGCAGGAATCGAGCGATTTTTTTTGCTGCAGAGATATTGACGATTGGTAATGCAGCTTTTTTTCTTCTGGCACATCCCCCACACACAGCCGGGTTGTTAACCCACTCAGCATTGGTCGCCGGCCAATGGCAATTCGGTATTAGCGTATATAGGGAAGCGGGTCCTCCGCAATTTCTCGATCGATTTAATCGCAGGAGGACGCGGAGCAGCCGGAAGTTCATTACCTCGGCACTCGCCTCCGCGGACAATGCCCCCCTCGGTACGCGACCCTGGCCGCTCGCCAGTTTCGCCATGCGTTTTTTTACATTTTGGTATTAGGCCAAATTCTTGGCGACGCGAGCCGTCCATTTACGGTCGCTTTCACTCCGACGGTGACGCGCGCTGCGTTTAAATATCATCAGACGGAAGTGGAGGAATCCGGAGTGGAAAGTTCCGAGCGGAATTCGGAGCGGGTCCGGGAAATCGGAGCGGATTTTCGGGTCGCCTGCCACACGGGGCTTTCATATAAAGTTATTCTCGGCGGGAATAAAACGCGGTTGAATCATCGTCGAATCGACGTTAGTTATTGTGACGAGGCAAATGGAATTGCGGCTGGATAAAATATTCGTAATTGCGAATAAAAAATCAGTTAACTTTGTGAATTTTTGGGGGGAAAATACGTAACTTTGTTGAAAAACTAATTTAAAGGTGTTATTGTACGTCTTTCCTAGTATATAAAAATAATTTTTCCATCCCGTTTGAACCACAAAATGACGACTTCTTGGTCCATTACGGAAACGCCTTTCGTTAGACGGGCTCAAGCGGTGTACACGATTCCGGCAAAACGGAATCCAACCTATGCAAACAAAACAAAAAGTGACACCATCTACGCTGTTATTGTTATCGCCTGATGTAGGGATTTTTTAGAATATCGATATCTCTTGGAATGGTCTGAAAAAAGTTGCAATTTTTTTCAAGAAAATGTCGTTTCTAATTGTCAATTAAAAAACTATAAAATGTTTCGCAAAAATTCTACGTTAGGCGGTAGAGAATGTTAAGCATATTCAGTTAAAATTTTAAGTCAATCGGATGAAAACTTTTTGAGTTGTCATGTACACCGTCTCGGAAAATGCAGTTTTCGACGCGAAAGCGTAGAGGATTATGCTCGCGGGAGTCGCGCCAAGTAACATCGTCCTTATATTACATATCGAAAATAGTCCCCCCACTTGCTCCTCGCGGGCGAAGTTCTCCTTGCGAGAGGAATAAAATCGCCGGGTACAACCGGCGTAAAGGCTGCAACAAATGCCTTTTAAGTGCCACTCCGTTGGGCACCGTTGTAATTCTTTAAGCGGGAGGAGAGGCTTATATATCCTTTAAGGAAAATCCACGACGGGACGACTCGAGGAGCCGGGCGCCGCGGCGATCGATACGGAACGCGGGACAATAAAGCGCACGACGCGTTTCTCACGTCCGGTTTCTGTTTCCCTCTCGGGTTTCAAGAATTGATTTTGTCTCGGCTGTCCTCGCGCCGCCTTGGGTTGCGCAAGCCGAAAGGTATTATCGGGAGTGTGTTTCTCTCCGGCACACGCCGAGAGCGAAGACTAATGATGACAGTCAAACAAACGAGCCGTCCGGGCGAAACGGTCATATAAATCAACAAAAATAAAATTCCTACATATATTAGAGCCGCTGCGCGGAAGTGTTTTTGCCCCGTGAACTTTCAACGCACACATGCTGTTTATCAGTCATTTAAATATATTCACACATCCTTTTTGTATCTGCGCGTGCGAAAAATATTCTTCGCGTTACCTGGCGTGAGGCGAATCATACTTTCGTGTGGTCGAGCGCAATCGAATCGAATCTATTCGTGTTCGAATTCAAATCGAATTTTAGCGACATTGTTTTGAAAACGATTTTATTGTTACATTTATTAGAAAAAAGTGACGGATTCGAAATCGTCGAAGTCGAGTCTCTTTGATTCGAACCTTCAGTGACTCGATTCGATTCGAAGCGATTTGTGCACCGATCTTCGCACTCGACGGATCGAAATGATTAAAGAAAGGGGTAATAGCTCGTGGAGCGGTGGCGAGACGTGATAGACGAAACGGTTTGCGGTAGCGACAAACGCATCTCGATTCCCTATAAGGACGTGACGAACGCCCGTGGAATTTCCTAGCGTAATAACGCGTCGGCGTGTGTCGGCGGAACGTGCCTCCGCTTTCGTTTCGCCGTGCACTTCTTCATTTCTATCTCCGCGTATTACGTTACCGGGCCGATAACGGAATTATGCGTATAAACGATACGGCACTTGCCGCGTCACACGCTCGAGCCCGTCTCTCCTTTCGTCGGCGTGCCTAACGTCGTTGTTCACGGCGATAATCGCTCTTCATACAGCAATAAATTCGGCGGTAAATCTCTCGCGCTTATTTCGCACGCCGTTGACAGACGGAATCGTGATAGTTTCGTCTTAAAAAAGAGGAGAGAGAAAGAGAAAGAAAACGAGCGCTCATTGACACAGTGACACCATTGACGCGGCCCCTACGGGGTGAGAACGTTGGTAACTCGGCGCCCCGCTGCGCGCACCCTCTTTTTACCTCCCTCGTGTGTACCGAGGGTACGTACGCCTCTCTGCGCCGCGCTCTCTTTTTCTCTCTCTCTCTCGCTCTCTCGTTCCACATCGTATCATTAAAGCTGTTCACCCTCGTTTTTATTCGAGTCGCTCGGAGCTCGCCCCTGGCTCGAGAGAATGCGCGCTGCATTCGTCGGCGGGGCCACCCCTCGCGCGACGGACAAAAAAAATAATATCGCGCTCGACTGAACTAATATTTTCCTCCATCGCGCTGCATCCACGTGGCGAACTCACCTTCCATTTAGGGCCGATCGACCAAAACGGTTGGATAATAGAGATTTCTCTACGCGAGATTACCGTCTACGCTTTTCAACTCGTGCAGACCCGAGATCCAATTGTCTGTTTATAAAATATTTATTTGCGCATTCGATGCACAAATTGTATTTGCACGATATAAACTTAACGAAATATTCGAGTTGATATTTTTCTACGAAGCTGTGTGATAGAAACAAATGATCCCAAGATATACAAAGTTTGCATCGGATGAGGACCTCAGCTGCGCCGAAATCTCTAAGATTGTGTGTTCTCTCGGTTGTCCAGGGTGGCGAAGACGCGGAGAACGCGACGGCCGCCGCGAGCAGTCCGGTGGAGGAGAAATCGGTGGCGAGCAGTCCATCGGCGGACGAGCAGGTAGCCGCGCCGACAGCAGCAGCCCCGGCCGAGCCGAAGGAGGAGACTGTCGCAGCGTCGCCAGCAGTCGCAGCCGTCACCGTCGCCGCTGCCGCCGCTAGCCCGGTTGAGGAAAAGAAAAAGGAACCCACTCCCTCCGCCCCCACTCCTGTCCCGTCTGTCGAGGATAAGAAAGAGGAGGCGGTCGAAAAAGTCGAGGCCGAGAAAAAAGTAGTCGAGGTCAGTCAGTCAGCCGGCGGTCACTCCGTAGCGGACCCGGTAGAGATTCCCGTCTACCGAGTCCAACCAGTCGCGACGCCGTCTATCATTGAGAGGAAAGCCAGTGAGGACCTCCCGTCCCTGCCCCCGTCCAGTCCGCCACCGACCCCCATAGATCCGTCGCCCTTGCAGCAGGCTCGGCAGGCCGCGGCGAACGCCACAGCCCTGGTCGAGGCGCTCAAGCTGCCTGCCGTGGCTGCCAGCGAGGAGGAGTCGACGCCGGCACCGCCGCCCGACGTCGCGTGCCCGTCGTCCCGCGAGGATCTTCTCCCCCAAGAGAGCCGCGCGAGCGAATCCACCACCCGTACTATCGCGATCCCGACATCAATCGCGCCCACCTTCGATGACTCGCCCCCGACGGAAGAGACCTGCGTCGTCGAGGAAGTAGATGAGGAGAAAGTGTCTGAGCGTCAGGGAAACGAGGCAAATAGGGCGAAGGGAACTCCGCCACTAGCGATGGAGCGTGATGGTAAAGATGCACTGCGCAAAGGTGCCGAGCAAGTTCCTGACGTTGTTGCGACGGCTAAAGTTATGAATGAGCTTCTACCGGCCGTGGAGTGTCAAGCAAAATGCGAGATAAATAGCGGTGAAGTTGCGATGAAGATAAACGTACTACCTAACGCCGGACATAATGAAAAGGTCGACGCTGAAACGTTATCGTCGACTGAGATTGAAACAAAAGACGCCTGCCCGGCGGTAAAGCAACCTTTATCGTCTGAAAATATATCTAATAAGAAATTATTAGACTCGGAAGTTTTTTCACTTGTAAAAGACACGTCTCTCGAATCGAAGAACTTGATGGAAGCCAGTCTGAACAAAAAGATAATTGAAAGCCCATCGATCGAAGCTGTGGAACAATCGAGCGGAGTATCGGTCGAATACGAACACGATTACACGAAACAGGTGCGAGAGGAAATCAAGGACGACGAAGGAGTTGCGTCGGTCGAACTATACATAAATTCCGAGGAGGGTCCGCTGTCAGTTTCGGAGGATATTCTGGTGGAAGCCAAGCCAGCGCTGATCATTCCGGAGGATGATAGCGTGGAGGAGCTTACCGACACCACTGAGTCCGTCAAGGTGATCCCCGAAACCGACGAGGAGAAACTGGAACTCGAGCTTGAGTTGGACACCGCGCTGCCCATGGGAGAGATTCTGATCTTGGAAGAATTGGAGGACATGTCCGTCCCGGAAGACACGACAGTTGAGCCACTGAACGAATTTGTTGGCGCGTCTCTGAAAAACAAGACGGAAGCGATTGATGAAATTGAAAACACGTTGCCATGTCCGCCCGAGGATTTAACCACATTCAGGTTCACCGAGATACCTTCGGGCATCGAGGCGAAAACCTTTATAACATACAAAGGGTGTCCTCTTTCAGCAGAGGCTCGCGTAGCATCGCCGAAATTCTGTCCCTCAGATGATTCGGACTCGATGCACTGTTTACCGCCACTGATAGACGTTCCGTCGTATTCCCCCTCGGAAATACACTCGAGTGAGCCCCAGACGCTAGTTCTCTCGCCCGAACCCATGCCAATCTCTTTGGAGGATCTACCCCCGGCGCCTGAAGATACGGGAACGCAAAGCTTAGATTCCTTCGATTATCCCTTACCCCCACCGGACGAACTCTCTTGTACGTTACCATTGATTGCCCCCGGAAACTTGCTTGTAGCCGAGGTACCACCAGCTCCCGTCGAACATGCGGCCAACCCAAGAGACCCGACAGAGACGCTCCTCACACCTCCCATAAGTCCTAACGTCCAGCGATCCAATGTCACACCCGGCATCGCGACAGAAACCGCCACGAAAGATCGTTCGCAAATTCCTTCGTATTGCGCGGACGACAGCAGCAATCGCGAGCAATCGATGCTGCTGAGCGAACCGCCGACGATGTCACGTAATCAATCAAACGTTGAGTTGAAGGAGAGGCTGGCGGCCGAGTGTGTGGCGAAGAGCGAAAGCCAGGAAGAGGTCTTGTCGTGTCAGTTGTCGAACTCCATCCTGTCGACTGCCACCAAGGAGCATCACCAGGTGACTAACATGCAACACAACCTCCTGGCATGAATGCGGCCGGCCAAAGTTCTTTGGCGGACGCCTCGTTCCACGTATATCTTCGTCGTACGGTTCGCACAGTACTGTTTCTGTGGTCTTATAGCCTGAAAAATATCGGCTCTCCCGATTTCCACGCTCTTCCCGGAAGATCCCTCCAGTGCTCTCCGTTCAGAAATTATTGACACGTACTTTGGACTTGAAAAACTCTCGCCTTCCCCCTTATATCTCCCCTCCCCCCCTTTCCGTCTTGTATCCAGCAAACAGACCTCTCCGCCCTGTTCTCTCGACGAAGGGTAACATCGAGCGACATGAGACTGACAGCCACGTACGGGGGTGACCTAGCACGACTCTCGTCCCAAGAACAAAATTATACTTTGCCGTTTGGGTGTGCCGACGCACGACCGGAGCCGGTCGAGTCCTCAGAGAGTCCGCTCAGCCCATTTTCCGTCCCGATGCGTCCCCGTTGTGTTTCAACGCCTTAAGGGTCTCGTCTCGTGTGCATCCTTCGTTCTACCGAACGTGATTAACACAAGCCTTACTCTGCTATTCGATGTCCTCCGACGCTTCCATCCAATTCTCCCCGTTTGAAACCCTATATATATATATATATATAATATATATATTATATATATCTATATATTACCACGATTACCACAATTGCCACCTGTGTTGTTTGCCTCTTGGTTTTCTTGATAATATTAACACGACCTTCCGTACGATTAAAATCGATGCGTTGCAGTAGAGTACTTTGTACGGCGCGGCGAACAGCGGAGCACTCGCAACTGCCGCGCTAGTTAATACCATTTCCGTAGATCGTATATCTTTTTCCACATCGAACGCTCTCTTATACTAATAATAACATAGACGCTCGATTATATAGAGGTACCTCTAGCGTGAATCTCATTGATAGACGCAAGAGCAGTTGGACTAATGACACGCGCGTGGTAGCTGGCGTTTATAGATTTTTTTTTTATAGACGTGCTCATTAGAGGAGCTCGAATCTTACTGTCGTGCTGTTCTCGTAATTGCATCTGTTGTGTCGTAAGCATCTTGTACTTGCGCATGCCGAGTTTCCTTATCTGAGGGTTCGTCAGCGGGATTTTCAATTCTTTGCGCTGCCCGAAGCATGACGAAACGATTCTGCTGAGGCATTTCGTCGTCGCACGCTGCGCTTCGAGCGAGGAGGTAATAGTCGTCGCGATTGTCCAGGCTGCAGGGCCCGCAATGCAGGGCCAGACTTGGAAATATATTTAGCTCTAACGCGCATTTTTATATTAATTAATGCTATTGTTAGTAACAATTTTCCTAGACAGTTCCGTCAACTCCAGTTCCATTTGTTTTACTACATCGTAGATTACCGCTGTATACAAACTGCTATTTTCTTACATGTATGTGTACAAAAAGAAATTCTACTTTGAGCTCTCTTCCTGAGCAATCTCTGAACAGCTGTTATCTCCTACTTGAACCGCAACATGTGCAGCATAATCATCTCGCGATGATTCACTCGTGACGGTCATTTAAGTCTGATGATTCACGAGAAGGGAAGAGATTTCGTTTTATAAACGAACACTGTTCGGCAGAATCGGTCTTACGTCCTTCGTTCTCGTTAAAGCATGCTGGGATTTGGACTTGAAGAAAGAGAGAGAGAGAGTGAGTGTGTGTGTGTGTGTGCGCGTGTGTGTGTGCGAGAGAAATGATGAATGACCGAGTATGCGTGACGATCGTGTAACGGGGAGACTTGTGTTTTACAGAAGGCTCCGGAAGTCGAGGCGCCGGTAGAAAACAACGTCGCCCACGATGTCAGCACGACGGAAAGCGTCGATGAGGCACCCAAAGTGGCACCTCCGGCTATCCCGACCGAGGCACCACCCGCCCCCCTGCCGACAGCACCGGCTATCACCGAGGACGTCGCCTCGGTCACCAAGGTATATAAATATATTTCCAGTCTGGTCTGGCAGTCTGAAGATTATAATCACATACTACGCTGTGTCTGCGCTATTATTAGCCTCGAGTGAGTCATTGTCGATGATGTCGCGGGATAGCGTCGATCGATCGTTTCGAGTACATGTGCCGGGGAGAGTCTCAACGACTCTCGGCTCTCTTTATCCTTATTCGCTTTGTGGCCGAGGATTTTCTTGCGCGCGTTTACAAAGTGCTTTAATGAGAAATTTGAAAGATGACTGAGAGCCAGAATGAGAATGTTATTATATTAAGTTATGCAATCGTGTGAAGTGTATGAGTACAATGGTGAAACTTTTCTCTTGGAAGGAGCCTCGGTCCCTTCAGAAAGGAGTATTTGTTCCCAACGAATTCGTTTTGTCGACAATTCGCAAAATAAGGAAGACTTTGTGCGTCTCGGCGATTCTCGGATAGAATTTCTTGGCTTTCTAGCTGCTTTAAATAATGAGATAGTTGGCAATTTTGACGTGATTCTTGTATATGCATGATGATCGCCAAAAGATCGTTTATGCTCGACGAGCGTAAGTGAGTCTGAAGGTCATTATCGAGTATATTGGCCGACGAAGATTAATGAGCGAGGGGCCATCTGATTAATACCGCGATTACACCTTTTTACAGTGACTAAGCAGTCATAAACGCCACTAATGCTCTTATTCTCTTTCTGTCCAAAGGCCATCGAGGAGATCGACATAAGTGATAAAGCAGTCGCGGCGGCAGTGAACGAAGCTATCGAATGCAACACGAATGTAAGTGTTCTTTTTTTTTCTCGCGATGTTCTCGCAACATTGATTCCTATTCAAATAGACGAGCCATTAATCTTTTCTTTTTCAGGAAATCATCGCTGACGCGCACCACCAAAACAACATAAACGAATAAGCGCCACTAATCGAATTGTATTTTGGAAAGAAGAAAGTTCTTTTCTCTCGTTAAAACCAAAAAAGTATATTATATAGATATGTATATTTGGACCATTCCTGCAAACAGAAAATAACGTTCTTTCGTTACGAGCAGCAAAAGGGGAAAACGGGGCGATGACGACGATGACGATGACGACGACCACGGCATCGCGAGAGCATATAGACTCTATAGTAGGCCTATTAATTATTAGACGGTGTTTTACGGCAGGGCAAAACGGGAGAGTACGTGCGTGAAAGTCCATGATCGTTTATTTAAGAACTATTTACGTTCGCGAGGTCATTCATTGCATGAATACATTGTATGATTCTGAATAAGCACACATGACGTTCATGCACGGTCTCTTTCACGGATCAAACGACGCTCGCTTCCTTATGGCGCGCGGGAAGGGCTTTGAAGAGCGCCGAAATGCTTTTGGATCTTCGTCCAGCCGCGGGTTACAACGTCCCTGCTGTGTAGAAATTTTTTAAGTATCATTAACTGTTACTGAGATAAAGTCTAATGCTCGAACATCGCGCGACGGACAAGCGATAGGAGCGATTAATTAAGATCGTCGAGGCGATAGGGCGAGAATCGTTCGTCGCGCATTCCAGAGGAAATACTCATTGGATGGCGCCCTCCCGTAATTACATAACTATTGTACTCTATGAGAGCGAAAAAGTGTGAACGAGAGTGAAAGTGAGACAGAAAGAAAGCGAGAGCATGAGAGAGAATGCGAGAGAGAAAGAGGAAGCCGAAATATAGAGGAAGAAATCGAGAGGGCAGGCTGTGTGTGATATAGCGATTGACGGTGTGAAAGGGGAAAGAGAATGAAAGCGCGCGAACCGAGAGATGGAGACGCGTCTTCGCCACGGTGAGAACAGGAGAAAGATGGAAATACGCGAGCGAGATAAGGGTAAGGAGGCTTTGTTCAGCGACACGCGACGAAGTTCCGTATGCATAAAAGTCGCACTCACATCGGCGACACTTCGAGGGCACCCGGCATATTGTTTCGCTCGCATTTCCATCGCGGTCCTTGGTTTTCCTTTTTCCGTTTACATCTGTACAATCGAGTTTTACGTTGTAACGAGGAACTGCACATTTTTTAAACATATAATTTTGATAGGCGCGCGCGCGCGCGCGCACACAAAGGCGCTTGCGAGGCACACGAGGAGAGACGTTATTACACCAATACTGAGCAAAGAGGACATTTTACAACGCGTATACGTATATACGTACATGAAACATACGAAATAAAGTATATACAGTAAGTCGAAAAAAAAACGAGATGTAAGTGATATATTAATCTAGACTATAGAGAGAATGAGTTTATGTAAATTCGGCGTTTGTTCGAACATTGCTACTTCTCCATACGAGAGAGAACACTTATGACGAAGCCTATCGTAATTTTTATGATAATCATTAAAAAAAAATCGCCTAATTACAATTTACGAGACATACACAATTTACCACCCCCGGAAACGGTACCTTTGTCAGGTTTTCATACGATGTTTCTACGTTTCTACGTTTATACGGATCTCCAGAAGTAAAAGAGTAATTACCTTACGAGAAGCTTTTTTTATCAAGATCGTAGCCGTAGATCAATAAAGCTGTAAACGAGAAGCGCATTATACACGTGTGACGACGCTCCGATATCCGGTAATATCGCCGAGCGTAGCGAGGAAAGGGACCGAGTTTTGTGCTCGTGTCCACGATCGGCATTAATTTCTAAGTGGTTACATACATATTTACGTGTATGGGCGGGAAAGAAGTAAAGTTAAAAGTTGTATAGTAAAAACCATTCATTAAATATATCTGTCCGTAAAAAAAGAAAAAAAAAGAAATGATCTTTACAACGAAAGAGAAATTTAACTTTTCTTCTTGATAGGACGACGCGTTTTGGCGACGAGAGCGAACTTTTTTATCGAAATTCTTATCTTCACGAGCGAAATCACACCGAGACTGATAATACCCGTGCACCCGTAACATTCTCTAGTGATTGTTATCACTCTGAGGCGCCGTCGAGGCAAACCTCGCTCGTTTATTTATTTTGCGCCGGAGACTAACAAAATTGTGAATGAGACCTTTGAATCGAAACCGCCTCAGACGCGGAAGTACAGTCTCCAGTATCTTCGATCAGCAGTTATAATAGTAATTAAACTATTCTACATTTATCTATAACCTATAATAAACTGTGAAACAAAGTATATCAGCGGCGAGTATTTATTTCGTTTTAGAAACCTGTGTCCTGCATCGATATCGCAACTTTATACTAATATACACGAGTTATATACACGTTATTTTCCCTTTCTATAAAAAAGTATCACAATAGCCTTTCTAAACTATTTATCATCGTATCCAGCTCGTCTTTATTCAATTCCAAATTTATGATACGTCGAGATTCCTTATCTTCCACTATGAGATCGACCTGGAGCAGTGATTCTCTTAACGAAGCCATCTTACTTGAACCCATCACCAACTATAGAGAAATGTAACGAACCAATTAAGTGTAGAACTCTTATTTATACGGCACCTGTTCTTCTTTTTAATAGAATATTAGATTACATGCAATTTCAGTGTAAATAAATAAGAGTTTTATCTAATGTAATCTGATCCCATTCTATTTAATATTTTAAACAGGGAGGCGCTAATTAAGCAGTTTTCTCCGCTGAACGCGGCCAATCTCATACCTTCAATCTCCAATCGTGATCGATCACAGTCGGCAGTTTTGCCTTACAATGTTCCTTCAATAAAGCGTCCGTCAGTTGTTCCCTGCGCACCTTCAAGCAAGTAAGGATGTTCTGTTGCACTTGCTCGGGTAACTCATGGTATTCTTGCGGCATCTAGAAAACAATAATTTCCCAATGACATTTAGGAAGGCAAAGTGAGTGTAGAGTTATATTATGTCAGTTATGCCGCACTGCACTAATGAATTTGACGAGAGTTCAGTTCGATCGACGTGACGGCCAGTATCTCAGCCGTCGTACCTTTTCCTCCACCGTGTGGAGAGAAACGGGATTCCGCAGCAACGACGATATTAGCTTGTAAACCCCTTCGTACTCCGCTCTGCTCCAGTCCATGCTGTTGGCGAACTTGCGATAGGACGGCCCTGGGCGACCGCAGATCTCGTCGACGCACGCGTGCAACAGCTGGATACAAAACAAGCCGGTCGGGCGATTATCAGACGAAAGCAAGGCCGTTATTGCGTTACTCACCTCCTTCAAGACGTCGCTCTTCTCCTCGCTGAAGAGGCTGATGTACAAAGATTGAGCGCTCTCCATGACTGTGTTCCTCAAACCGCGTTTCCTTTACATTGGCAACGTCATCGCGACACTGCTAACTGCGAAAACGGATTAGAATTTAAATTCCGGAAATTTACCAAACCTCATAATTGCACCTGGTGTGACTTAGTCGATGGAAGACTTGATTGAACGTGACTTTAGACGCCGAGAGAAGGCCACCTTTTCTCGTTCCCTTTATGGGAACGCCGTCGACTCGTTTGTCATTTAGCGCGTTTCACTGTCTTCCAAATCTTACGTATAAACTCATATATTACGACAAACTTGCTCCAATCCTTTCGCTCGATCGAGAGAGCAACAACAGACGTGAGGTTAGGACGTTTACGCAGTTCACGTCACCTGCTGGCGCATCACGGAAATACGTGCACACATGCGTGTATGTATATACCTGAGTAAATTAGCGCGAGATATAAAATAACTGAATAACAAATCATTTTAACTTTTGCAGAACGGTCGAGCGAAAATCAAAGAAATTGTAACAATAAAATATGTACAAATTGCAATAATAATAGAGCAGTAATGAGCTTGTAACAGAATGATGGGCCATTTGAACGGCAAACTGATCCTTGACATGAGAACAGAGTCAAATTCCTTAATGTATAAATTAATATATTTTTTTACAAATATCGTAGTTCAGTAACAGTAATGAATTGTATTCTACAAAACTTTTGCAACGTTCGTTACGTTCTTCACGTCCTGTAGATCGTTACCGAAAACCTTTCCTTTAACTTCCGTCCAACAGTTTGTCGCAAGTTCCGTCGCCCTTTCCGCACCCTCCTTCAAAATCTCGTCTAAATAGGCGGGTTCTCCGGTTAATCTCAATATGTCCTTGCGAATTGGAGACAATTTTTCTATCACTACGTCGGCTAATACCAATTTGTACCTATTAAAAATCAGGATAACTCGTAATAATCATTCATTAACTTACTCATTTATGAAAGTTTCCGAAAATAATTACTTCATGTACGTATACATATGTTAGTCGCGTTCGACATAGCAAATCTGAGGCGCCGAAGTGCATTTCCAGTCAAAAACGACTCGTGGATGGAAAACCATCGTATTGACTTGGATTCAACATCGATCGATGAGTCATTTCTGACTGGGCTTCCTCTTTTTTTCACTCATTTCCCACTCTAGCTCGCTCGAACGCAAAGCAGCACTCCGACGCACCTCGTACTTGCAGCGCCGAACGCAGCTAATGTATAATAAAATCTAAATGTTCGTCAAATGCTTACTGTCCTGTATTTAATCCTACGGCCTCCTTACATATTTCCTCCGGAGTCTTCCCGGTGAACAGAGAGTGTATATTAATCAAATTGCTCACGCCTGGTCGTTCATCTGGCTCGTAAGTCACTTCGGACGTGAAGTCAGTCACAGCCTTTTTCACTTTCTCCAACAGCACGTCGGGCTCATCCAAGATGTTCAACCTGGTCTTGGGATCTGCGTGTGATTTTGACATTTTCTTCATGGGCTCACGTAGAGACTTGATTCTCTGGCTCGGACCATCTTAAGATGTAAAACAATTTTACTCGCCAGTCGACATCTTCAAAATCGAAATCAATCGCAATTAAAATTCGGAGACCTACTACTAATAAGAGTATGCGGTATCGGGAAGGTCTGTCCGTACTGTCTGTTAAATATATACGCTAAATCTTGTGCCAGTTGAATATGCTGAACTTGGTCCTGTCCGACCGGAACGTGCGTTGCTCTGTTAGGAAGAATCTTTATATTCATTGCATTGCACAAAAATTATAGGACAATTTTTTATTGTACATTAATACTGCAGAGGATCCATTTGCTAAACTCCAAAATGAATATATATCTATTATATCTTCATGTGCTTTCAATTCTAGATTTTTCCCCTGAAGTATTAATACACGAATAAGAATTATCTTGCATATCCAACAGGAGAGACACTTGCTTGTACAATAATATATCAGCTGCCTGCAGAACAGGATAGTTATACAAGCCTGCGGGTACATTCTTTAAGAACTCGCTCTTTTCCTTGAATTGCGGTAGGTGCGCCAGCCTCGCCATGGTCGTGATGTTAACTAAGATCCAATACAGTCCCAGGTGCGTCAGTACGTCGGACTGTTGGAACAAGATACTTTTCTTGAAGTCCACGCCACATGCTATCAGTGTCGCCGTCATCAGCAGAACGTTCTGCCTCAATTCCTTGGGGTTCTACAAAAATTGCGCGTTGTCAGCAGGCGTCAGTGTCGGAATGGCGAAAGTTAATCCATCGTAAGTTTTACTTGCGGCAAGGTAATGGAATGCAAATCCGCTATGGTGCACAGAACGGCTTCGCCGGAATCCTGCAGCTCCACCCATCTCCGAATGGCGCCGAAGTAATTGCCCACATGCACGCTTCCCGTGGGCTGAATTCCAGAGACTATCCTCTTCGGATAGTTAATCCGCGTTGTCTGCAAAACAGAAGAGCACACGATAGCAAAAGATCGACGCCGTGACCGATTGTTGCTCCAATTAATGTAATGAATAAACCTCTTCCCAAAATGTAACAATAATTCTTAGAGTACTTTAAGCACGTTGATTAACATTAAATCTATCTACCTCGCGAAAAATTCTGTCTCGGGCATAAAGAGAGATTGGGATACTTTAGAGAGGTTAGATGACGAAACGTGATCGAACCTGCTTGCTGTATTCCCTGAGTCCCTCGGACTTCGCTACCCGAGCTGCTCCCAAGCGAGCAGCAGCTCGCAATACTTTCAGCATATTTCAAATAAATATCGACTTTATTGACGTCGGATGTGAGGTTAGGATCCGACGATCGAGAGCTCAGACGGGGGGAGCCGGGAGCTCTTCGATTGGGAACGCAAGCGCTTTTAGAAGGTGTAGAAAGTGTAATATAGAGTAGCTACAAGGAACAGGATTTATGCTACGCGCCCCGTAAAGACCGCTGTGTATAAAGGTTGTGGTCAAGTCAAAGGTTGCCGCTACAAATGCTTCGAAGTGTTTCTTTTCTCTGTCTATCTTTACTGAAACAAAAGGAGAAGAAGATTACTTCGAAGCATTTGAAGCGATTGACTGCAACCAAAGATATCTACTAGCGAATTCGATTGCTTGCACTGGTGCGCACTGAGTGCAAGCAACCGAATTCGCCATAAAGGAGAAGAAAAGACAATTCGCCAAACGCTCGATACATATGCAACGCTAATTGCCACACATGTTACGCTTACAAGTTTAAATAAATTGGCAGGTTTAAGTAACATTACAAGTTTAAAGAATTGTAATGACCAGTGTAGAAGGCGCAGCTGAAACATCCACTGGTCCGCCAGTGATGCTTCAGCCAATCGCAAACTGCCTTTTAAATTCGGGACTCATCGAGTGCGCTGAGGAAACGCGTCGGCGTCCATTGTTTTCTAACAACTTGCGAAGAGCAACGAAACTTCCGGTTCCTCCTTTCCATCAAAGTACGAAAGCGATTAAATAGAACGAGAAATATATTTCGGGAGCCACGAGAAAACAAAACTTTACGTTTAATGAGAGATACAAAGGCTCCTCAAATGGAATAAGCTCATAAAATACAGTCTGCCATTTTTCCTGAGTGACGTTCAACCGCGAAAAGTTGACGCGAGTGGATTAATTTTTTATTTTGATTTTTTGCAGATTGTTTGCGATTGACGCAGTTAATGAATCGCTCATCTTGTCATCTCATCCATTAGTCTGTCTCGAATTTCTAGAAATAACCCACGGATAACGTTTCGTCTCCTCGCACGGGCTTCGTGTCCCCTCGTGAGACCATCTCATTTTCTGCGTCATCTGATCGAGAGCTAATTATGGTCTCCACCGCGAAAATCTTCAACGTCACCGTACCGCAGAAGGATGATCTCTGCTGCGCGATCTGCAAGATCGTGAATTCCGAAAACAATTCTATCATCTATTCCAACTACTGCGGGAACAAGCTCAAGTGTCGGTAGGTAAAACAACGATTGTTAAATGTCGTTGTAGCGCATCTCGCGGATTAAAGTGAGCCTCGGATTGCCAACGAGTTCACCTTCGATTTCATAGAGGAAACGTTTCGGCTTGCAGGCAATTTCTCCGAGAGACCCCTCACGCGATGGCCGCGCCGATAGTTAATCGAAAACTCCTCGAGACCGGCGGTTCTCTTTACGTCATCGTCGCCAAGGACTTTTTCAAGAGCTGCACCTTCCGGGACCACTGTGACGCCCTCAACATACAGGTGGTACGTGATCGCAAAGACACGCGAAGTGCGTAATATCTCTGGCGAGGCTGACCTAATTCGTTGATCTCGATGTGCGAATGTTGCGCAGATGAATCTACTCGACCCAATGCCGACTTACGTTTACAAGACGTGCCTACTTTTCACCGTGGAGCATAAGCTGGCACCGCAGTGGAACAAAGTCGGGCTATACCTCGTCGAGGGACGAGATTTTCTCAGCTCGACGGGAAGCGTCAATGCGATCACGCTAAACATCAAAGACATCCGCGGTACGAAGTCCGATTTTTAACTAACTATAGCGTTAAGGCCTGTGTCCACGATGCTAGAACTTGGTCCAAGTTCTAGCTTCGAAAAATATGTAGTCAATCAAGTTCTAGCATCGTGGGTACAGGTCTTTAGATATACAGTTTTGCGTATGCGTATATCAAGAGGAATTTCTTTAGCGTGAAGAATAATTTAGAAGGCTAGCAAAAGATTCAGGTTGTAAGGGGCCAAACAGATGGTGAAGCCTGATCTACAACGTGCTCTTTGCGTTTAGAAATATTTTATTCTGTAGCCAACAAATTTGTTTAAAAATTTTATGCAAATTCACAAATGCTTTAAGCATATTGATTTTCTACGGCAAAATAGAACTTAAGAAAAGATCAATATTGCAGATAACAGCGCTCAGCTTCAAGTGGAAGCTGTAAATCTTAAAATACCATTCTTAAGACTGAATACTACGCGTTCTTTGCAACATGACGTGCAGCCACCAGTACGCGTCCTACCGAGGTGAAAAATAATTGTCAAGATTCTAAGAATTTCGTTAATGTGTAAATTGCTGTTGCAAAATAAATTCTGGGCCAGTCTTTATATTATAATTATTGAAAACTAACAAATATATTGATTACTTTATAATATCATCACTTAAATCCAGTTATTAATAATTTCATAAATATCTGTAGCTTGAAAATGGCGAACGTATTGAGTACGTCGACAGAAATTAAAGAAAACCACTTGTACAAGGATTACGAAAATCTGCGGGCGTATTGGGAAAATATGGTATAAATCTATTATATAAAAAAACTCATTAAAATTAATGTCTTCTCAGCTCAATTTTCTTCATTTAACATTAATTGCATTGCTAGTCCTGCTGAGATAAAAATTAGCTACGTACAAAGAATAATTGAACTCTTCGAAAGTAGACTTGCTGAAGTTATATGTTTTATATTACTAATCGTCAAATATAATGTGTAAACTATATATGGTGCAATTAATCTCGTTATTTTAGCACGGGTACATATTACCAGATTATAAGGAAGGACTCTTATTTTACGATATCGAGTTCTTCTACTTCAAGTCGAGCGTTTTCGTATATCCTGAAACGTGCTTAACCTCAGGACTTCCAGAAATTCTTCCGCTTGTAATGGATCCAGTATCCAGGATTTATAAATTTGCTGGAGATCTAAGAGGAAGCGTAACAAAATTATGCGGGCAGCAATTGGATGTGTGCCCGATGGTGAGAACATGAACTGCATATGTTTTATACAATATTAATATGAACTTTCTACGTAAAATAGCACATTAATTGCTACTATCGTTTACGAAGATTAATATATCTCTCATTTGCTGTAACCATGACATAATTTAATGTTCTTATTATAATAACATCATATTTATAATAATTATAATAATTAGTATAATAATATTTCTATAATAATTAACAAATTTGTTATTTTGCAGTATCTAAATATTGTACTAAAATAAAATCGGTATGTCTGATTATTCTTACTTTTAATGCGTAACTGATTTCGTAGGATACGTATCAAGCAGCTGTTCTAGCGTGCACACCGATATTATCAAGGGTTGATAGATTTTCAGCCTGCGATACTGGATACGGTACTCGATCAAGAAAGTCCAGCAGTGTGACACCTTTGTCTCGGTCATTTGATACATGCGATATTCCCACAAAACGATCGCGATTATCACTACCAAAGGTTAATGATTCTCTTGCGTTCAAGACTGACAATGAGACCGATGATTTCAATTTTGGAAATGGTCCAACGTGTACCACGAGCAACTTTGATAAGTTGCTTAAAACTGCTGGTAGTATTTCGATGGCGTTATTTAACGCAGATAGTGCTGTGGCCAGCAAACCAATCATACAAGAAAATGAGAGCAAATCGCATTATTTTAAACAAGAATCTGAAAACAAATCTTTCATGGTAAATACTTTATATGCACAAACTTATTATGCAGCAATGTTGCCCACAATAACGAAACAAATAATAACAATATATTAATAACAACATACATTCAAGGAGCTGACGGACCAAGAAGAAAAACCCGGTAAACAAAGTCTAAAGGAAAAATTGTTAAAGAATTTTTAAGGAAATATTTCTCGATTTGCCACATCAATTACAATTAGATGTCATTACTCTTTTCTTTGTTAAATCTTTAAAATATAATTATAGCATAAGAACAATTGGTATAACAAAAAAAATGCTCTCGATAGAACAATTAGAGCGTCAACTTTAAAAATTATAATAAATAAATCGGAATATAAATTAAAATTATAGATTATAAATTATTTATTTCTCAGAACGTAAAAAGATTATAAAGCAAAAATCACAGTAATTAAAAATTCCGATTTAAACAGCGAAAAATTGTATTTGAATACATTCATAAATAAAAAGTTTAATATATGATTTTATGGTTTATGCATTCCTTTATTGTCTCCAGCAAGTCTCTTTCGAGCTCGATTATACATATAATATCTTTATACTAATCTCTATTAAATGTATAATATCTTTGTTCGTAAGTACTAACAATAAGCAAGTTAAAGTCCATCTAGTATAAAATCAAATCGTGTATATGAATAATTATCCACATATGTTATTATTACATATTAGGCAAAAATTTATAGATCCCGACGTCGATGTCTACACAAATATAATAAAATATCACATCACCACACGTACTTATAATCCTTTTTGAATTTGGAATATACAGTGATAGGATACACCTTTGAGAAACAGATTATTTATCATGTACAAAAAGTTGTCACGTGAATGTTGATGGTTTATATACTATATGTCAGCATTAGAAGTTTTCACGAAAGTAATTAAAATTTTTCGAAATTAATCTTAATGCTTAGCAAACGTAAAAAATTAATTATTTATTTTATCTTATGCGTCGTTCATATACTGTTTTTTGTTTAGTTACAGAAAAAATTCTTTGCGATCGCAAAGAACGAGATAGCTCAAGATTTTGTTGTTAAAGTTATATTAACGATTATATGTTTATTATATCGTAGTTTTCTTGTTATGTCTATCTAATATAAAATGCTTTTGTGCAATAATCTAATATGTACTCAAATTATTCGACTTATAATTTACGTATTTACTATTGAGACTAATTAATTTTTGTTATTTGAAGAATTGCAGCTTAATTTCACTTTCCATTACGTTTTGAATATATTCAACTATTCTGCGTTCGAAATAATCTGAAGTACGAAATACAGAGGTGAACATACTCGATTTTATACGTCCTACTGGTATAAATTCTGTTCCCCGTGTGCACATTTATGGTAGATAAGAAAAATAAGGAGTATTCGCCTGACTATAATTTACGATAATTTAGATAATATTGTAATAGGACATAACACAAAGATATCGGTGCTTCTTCGCAAGATATCTATTTTTTATTAAAAATTTTATTTCTTGGATCTTATATTCTTCTTATGTGAATAAGCATAAGAAGAATATAAGATCCAAATCTCAATTATAGCACTTAGCTTTAATGTTCTATAAACGTGTAAAAGTTGATAATACAATAATATGATAATGAAAGACATTAAGTGAGCGGTGGCAGAGCAAGGGGAAAGAAACTTCTATAGGCTATAGGTTCTCAGTGACGCTTTGACTGTTACCCGAGATGGTGTTTCCCGAGGCGAAGTACTATAGATACAATCATATGCTATTGTCATCGATTGGACTCTGGCCCTACGATAATTCTATCATCAGACAAATTCAAGTCATACTGACACTACTGATTTTTGGATTGTATTTAACAATTCAGGTATCTGTTTTTTTTCTTACGATACATTATACTTAATTTCTCTTGTTATATATATTCAAACTTAACATTGTTGCATTGTTCATATCTGCTTTTGATAATATCTTCTAATATAAATAAATTTTGCGTACTAGAATATACAAATTTAATTTTGATTTATGCACATAATTGTAAACAGAATTAAAACATTCATACCTTTTATATTTTTATTTTATATTTCTTTCATTTTTTACGAGCCGTGCTTTATAGATTATTATGAAAAGAATGTCATTGGCATCTTTGATACAAAATTATTTTAAAGAAATCGTTATACACGTGTTTTACACTCAGATACAAATGGCGATTTAATATTCTAAATACTGATATTTATCTAATAAGCAGTTCAATCTCTATTGTATAATAGATATAATTGTATATTTCAAAGAAAGGTTTAATAATTGTAAATTAATTTTCAAATTATTTGAATCTCACAGCACAGTTGTTTTAGTGTAACAATTTTTCATCAAATGATAAATATACCTAATTGATTAAGTATATTTAATCATGTATATTTATTATTGCTTGATCTAAAGCTAAATATTTGATTTAAAAGTTTTAATCTAAAAGTTAAATATTTTTATTTTTCCTCATTTCGATGTACAAGAAATTGCAATATTTGGAATCATTATCAACAATAATATTATTCAGATAATCTTGCAAGAGATAACTATACCCTGGGAAAAAGCTATATATCCAATTCTATCTAATTGCATCAAATAATGTCGGATATGATAAAATTTGATCAGATTATATGCAAATTTTAATGCATCCATTTATAAGTATGTATATCAAAGCAGATGTAGTAAGGTATAATCAGATGTTTATACCGTTTTATCTGACTACCTGTGTATCTGACCACATCTGATTTGATGTACTTATAAATGAATGGATTAAAATTTGGATATAATTACATCAAAGTTTATTATATCTAACATTTTTAATAATTAGATACAATTAGATATATGGTTTTGTTCCTCGGGTATTTACAATACACGTACGTTAAACATTTTGTGCGTATGAAAGAGTTTTTTTAAATAACTTTTCTTTCAGATATGCATTATCTATAATTATAAAATATTATTCTCATATTATTAAATATGTTGCTTACAGTTTATGAGATTACTCATTCCGGAATTCAACCTTGATTTTTTTCTGGAAGCATTAGCTATTCTTTTCTTCATTTTAGTGTGGTTTGTCAAATACATTTATTTCTTCCTTGTAATCGGAAGTGTAAGTTCTGCGGTAATTTAAACTAAATTTAATTTGAAGTTAATCGCTATATACAATAATACTTTTTGCATGCATCAATAGATAAAACAAATACGGAAATATGTCAGAAGTAATTGGAATATTCTATCAGATAATCGAGAAATCGATATAATGCACAAATATGCCGATATTGGAAGACAAACTACAATAGCTTTAGTGAGTAAGTAAAAACATTTTCCAATCAATTTTTAATTACTTCATCCTGATTAAATTCGGATGTAATTTAATTATGTGCAAGGGTGTAGCTAGGTACATACAAGCTAATAAAAAGAATTACAAGCGCAAAAACTATATTTGACTGTGTCGGTAAAAAAGATGACTGAGGGATCCCCTTAAGTCGTGCTTGTTGGAGTTTTAAAATTAATGCGATAATTACGCATTCTTTATTAAAAGTTTTTTTCCGTGTGTATATACATGGTGTCCCAATTTAATGTCCCACCCCAAATAACTTTTTATTTTTGAACGCAGAAAAAATGTATATACAAGGTGTCTCATTTTAAATGATTCACGTAAATATCTCCAGAGATATGAAAGATACGGAAAAACGTTTCAAACAAAAGTTATTTGGTTCGAAGGGGGACATAAGATGGTACCATTGGTTTGATCTTGAATAGTTGTACAGGACTTTTTGACTTGATTTGGTCTCAGGAATATGCTGTTTCAATAGTGTTCCAATTATTGAAAATTTTTGTGTATTGTAACAAAAAACAATAAGGGGTTCCACTTAACAAATTGAAGGTGAGCTTCACGTGTCCTTCAAGCAACTATCCAAGGTCAAATTAATGACACAATCTTATGTCCCCCTCGACACCATACAACTTTTATCTTATTGTTGTTGGGCTTAGTTTTTGAGATATTTTGCTGTCCTAGTTAAAATGGGACACCCTGTATATGCTAACAACAATGAAAATATTGTTTTGTATGAAACGTTTAAATAATATCTATTTATTATTTAAAAAAGGAGTATTTTTATAATTTTATTAACCTTGGCATAGCAAATAATTCGAACGTTTAAACATGATGCAACCATTATTTTCTTCAACTGAATAAATTAATAAAACTTAACATGTTTCAGTTATGACCTACGCTGGATGTGTTGGTTTCAATCTGATACAATTTAGTCCGGATCTTCTTGATACAGTAATGCCTTTAAATGAATCTCGTTCGCGTCTACTTCTGTATCAGGCAAAATACTCAATCGTTCAGGAAAAGTATCTTTATATTATAATGATACATGAAAGCATTGGCTTATTCCTTTGTGGAACTACTGGATTAGCTGCTGAAACATTTTTATTAGTAAACGCATTACATGCTTTCGGAATGTTTAGAGTTACTCGGTACATCGTAAGAGAGAAATATTTTTTAATGAACAACTTTTCACTGTTTGTGTTTATTTTTATTTGTTTCAACCTGAAAATTGAACTAGTATATTTTTTAATGAAGAAAACATTTCCTAGCAATAAATTGGAGTTTGTACTCGATTTATATCAATTAGGTAACTTTTTATTTATAGAATTAATTAGATTTTATGTACATTCGAACCTTGGTATCGTGTAGTCTCCCCTTATTATTTGTCACTTTTAGTTTTACGTTGCTTTTTTTCTCACTTTATATGCCTAATCTCATGTGGTCACGCTAATATGAAATAGTGAATAGAAATAGGGCAAGAAGATATACTATAAACGGAGAAATAAATAACTTGAGAGCTTTCGAATTTATATTTCATTGAATTTTGGTGCATTTTGATATATATTTATTATTGCTGAATGCAATCATATATGTAAGATTAAATATGATTAATAGTTATTTAAATAATGTATAATAGAATAATTTTATAGGTATAATTCTTAAGTAAAATTTTACAATACTTGTGTACTACATTATAGATATTATATATCTTGTTCATATCTTTTTCATAACATACAGAATTTTATAGTTACCGTATGGAACGTATGTTAATCGAAGATGTTTCACAAATATCTATAGCTAACAGTTATATTATATTCCATGATAAAATAATGGATGCAGTGGACACCCATAGAAGAGCGATTGAGTTAGTATGCTACTAATTCCAACAAAGTCTGTTATACAAATTGGCAAGAGCTTGAAGATAAAATATTACGACTTTCTACAATTTTCTCATGAAGAGTAATAACGAAAACCCTTTATTCTGTTAGATTTTCGGAATTATTAAAGAATAGCTTTGGAATATCGTACCTCCTTATGATTCTGACAGCTTTAA